ATCATGCACGAAAGACTTACTGATGGCCTGAAGGACTTACCAAATAAGAAACTTTGGGAATTATTTTCTTACTTTTCAGGAAAAATCAATTTTCAAAAAAGATTTAAATGATAAACTTTGGAAATCACTTTCCTATTTTTTGAAAATCATGTGAAAACATCATGCCCGAAGGTCTTATGGATGGCCCGAATGACTTATCATCTTGCTTGAAAAAATTATAGCTGACCCGAAGGATTTAAGTATCATGGTTGAAAGACTTACTGATGGCCCGAAGGACTTACTCATCAAGAAACCCTTGAAAATCAAGCTTAGTTACTTAAAAACTTTCGTTTACAACTATCATCAAGAAACCCCTAAAAATTAGGCTTGTCTTCTTTAAAAATTCATTGTAAATAATCATCAAGAAACCCCTGAAAATCAGGCATTTCTTCTTTAAAATTTCATTGGAAATAATCATCAAGAAACCCTTGAAAATTAAGCTTAGTTTCTTTAAAAAAATCATCATTACAAGAGATCTTTGAAAATCAGACTTAATTTCGTTGAAAGTTCATTTAGAAATAATAAAGAAACTTATAAAATCAGATTTAGCTTCTTTCAAAATTCATTTAAAAAAAATCAAGAATCCCTTGAAAATTAGGCTTAGTTTCTAAAAAATTGCATTAGCAGAGTAACATACTCCACTTCAAAAATGATGATTATTCTGTATATTGAGCTCCTCAATTCTTGGGTTCTGTCACTCTTAATGTAATTCCCTCCATTTAAGGATTGTTTTTATTTTATTTCCTTATTTCCCTGGAAAATCTATAGGAATTATGTATATGTATGACGATATGAATGCACTTAAATGTCTCTAAATGTAATGCATGACTTTCTTGTATGCCAAAATATTTATCATTAATCCTCTTTTGACTTCAAAATGGAGACTTCGGTCCTCCTTCACTTGATCCCTCTTGTATGGAGCCTTCCCCAATACCAATATAATCAATCTAATCATTCTGTACAATCATGTCCTTCATGTCTTCTATCTTTTTTTCTTGTTTCTTCAGTATAATCCTAGAAGAAATGTTTCCTCTCCTGAATTCTTGTTACGATCAGGTAGAAGATTGGGCACTGACTTATCCCTAACTCGATTGTTCAATCAAAATTACTTCTCAGGAATCCTTTGGAAAATGAAGCATGAATGGTCTATTTCTCAAGGTAAGCTCTTTTTGTTATCATCTTTTGACCCTGACACTCTAAGTGGTGATACTCTCCTTCAGAATCTTCTTGATTTCGATCTTGTTGTCTCCACATGATTGAGATTTTTTGATAATGCCCCAATACGAGACATCAAGATTCAATATTTGATTTTGAAAGATTTGATCCTCGTACCATTCGTTAACGACCACAAGCTGTCATCTTGGACAAACAGAAGAGCTGCCACGTGTCTTCCTTATTCTTGTCAAAGTTTAAGGGGCCTCTATTTACTATGAGATCTTAAAACATGGGGGCATTTGAAGTGACCAATTTTTCCTCGATATGAATTGAGATACCATGAAATATCGAGGTAAGCCGTGCCCCTTCTTATTCAGTTCGTTGTCTCATTGCTTCCTTGTTGCTCATTTCTTCACTTTGGTTTCTGTTTATGAGCCTCGTCAAGTTCAATGACCTCTTTCTCAAGGGATCGTCTTAATTGAAAATGTTTTTCTCATTTCTTTTATTTTAAAAATTAAAGAATGAAATAATTTTGTAAAGTATTGTCCCTTAATTCAAGCTTACAATAAAAGAAAATAATAAACATGAGTTCACATAATATCACAAAAAATGAAATTTTCTTTAAATTTTCACAATTATACTCCTTTGACAAGTGTCAAGATTGGTGGGTTAGCTTCAGGTTGGCTTTCGATTTCAGCCATTGAGATATCTTCATTTGTTTATACACCAATGTGAACCTTCTGGTATGCACATCTTTTTTGGCTTGGCATATTAAGTGGATGCAGACAAAATGAAGCAACTAGCATAATCAATTACTAGACTTTCTAGAACACTTTTATTTTAGTTCTATGAAATCTTTCGTTTGTTCAAGTTTTACAAACTCCTTTAGTAGAAGCAATGTCAAAAATATTAATCTAAATATAAAATTGTTGAGTGCTTATGTGAGGTTGACTATAACAGGTGTTCTTTAACTCCTTTAGTCCATTTTACTAAAATATGTTATTAAATAAATTAATTTAATTTGTCATTGTTTGGCTAGATGAATTTAGCTTTATTGTATATATTATAATCTCCTTTATCGGGCTAGCTGAAGGGTTCATCTCATCACAAAGTCTTTGACTTGACAATCGCAATGGAGCAAACACCGAACTACCAAGTACCTGAGCAATGTCATGGTTTGAATGTAATCTATTAATAAAGTTAGGGCTTTTAAGTTTCCTTTATGACTAATTGCTTTAGTGGAATAACTCAACTTTATTGTATAATCACTACAGCAAAAGTGTTCTGTAGCGACGGTTTTAGTGGCGTTTGGAGAGTAAACGCCACAATATTTTGGGATATAGCGGCGTTTATATTGAAAACGCCACAAAATGATACTTTAGCAGCGTTTTTACAAAAAACACCGTAATATAGTTAAAATTTTGCGGCATTTATGACACAAACGCCGGTATATATATATTTATCGTGGCGTTTTCTCATAAAACGCCGCAAAAAATTGGTAATTTAGCGGCGTTTTTAAATAAACGCCGCAAAAGAGTAGATATTAGTGGCTTTTTAGATAAACGCCGTAAAAGTTTTGGATATGGTGGCGTTTTCGCAACAAACGCTGTTATAAAACAGTAATGTAGTGGCGTGTTTTGATAAACGCCGTAATATGTTTGTTTATAGTGGCGTTTTTTATTAAAACGTCGTGTATACATCTACTATAGTGGCGTTTTTATTAAAAACGCCGCCACAGGGTAAATATATGGTCTTTTTCTCGATCCCATAATCATTTCAACACTGCTATCTTGAAAAGGGATTTCTCTGGTACAAGAACGCACTCACACAATTCCAAGCGAAGTGGTATTCTGTCTTCTCCGGTGACGAAATCGGGTCTCTCATCGACGAACAATTATCTCACGGTTGCATGGTTTGATCCCTTCTCTCACTACTGAATTTTTTCAGTTATTATTTTTGGTATTCTGAAAATAGGGTAACCTTAAAAGATAACGTAATTGAAAAAATAATATCTTTCCCATATTTATACATAGTGTTTTAATGGTTTACTGGTTGGGAGCATTGTTTTGCCGTTTTTGAATCTCAAAATAATAGCTTTTGAAAACGTGAACAAATGGTTGTGGTAAAAAGAGCATGTTTTGCCTTGAGTAAAAGAAATTATCGTCGGAATGTCCACGTGGCGTATTTGCTCTGACGATGGATCAAATTATCGTTGGGAGGCTATCAGTCCAAACTTGCCGTCCAAACTCGATGATGACCCGAATGGAACTCCGAACTTGCCTTCCATGACTGATCTCCTAATTGAAGGTAATAATCGCTGAAAGTTTCTACCGCTATATTTGTATTTTATACTCTAAAATTTCATAGAGCGCACGTATGTAGGATGTTCGAAGCTTATTCAGAATGATGATGAAGGAGTGGATAAATACCCGATGTTTACAACCGAATTTGGTAGCTCTGTGGCATTGAAAGAATCTTTAATTGAAAAAGTAAGAGCTATCCTCAATGAAGACGACGTTGGCTCTAATGTTACTCCAAGTAAACGTTTCTAGCATCTATTTAATTTTTTTCCAACAAGTCATTTAGTTCCCAAGCCACCTCCAATCAAGTTTCATACTGTAGGTGGAAGTTCGTTATCTGTTTCAAGTGAAGCACTGAAGCGCGCAAGGAGTCTTCTTGGAGGAGTCTTCTTGGTGAACCGGATGTAGGGGATTTATTTGGTGAAATGGATGAAGAGTTTCTCCATATAGAGTTTACCCGAAGGAAAAACTTAACGATGCATCGTCAAACAAGGAAAACAGCTTTCCTACGTCCTTTTCCTACGAAGGAGTAATGAAGACTAAACTATAGTGAACAATATGGCAATATGGTGAAGACTGTTTATGCATAACTTTAATGTTTTTAAATTTTAATGTATTTTGTTGTTAAGTATTTTTATGCATAACATCTGGCTTAATAAAATGTATGGTTGTTGTTAATTAGGTAAAAGTAAATGATGTAAAGTTAGTTTATGTAGAGCATAAAAGGAATATTTAAAATGAAGCAAACATATATATAAATTAAGGTAATTAGCGGCGTTTGTTGATAAAAAACGCCGCTGAAGCCATAACCTTTTTCGGTATTTGTACAAAAATGCCGCAATAGGGTAAAATATACAGTGGCATTTTATCAATAAACGTCGCAAAGAATTTGTAATTTAGGGCGTTTTTAGACAAACGCCTTTACATAGTTGTACTTTAGCGGCGTTTAAGTACAAACACCGCAGTAAAATCTAGAGTGGAGTTTTAATTGTACAAAGTGGTTGTTATAGCGGCGTTTGAATATAAACGCCGTAATAGAGTCATAAATTAGAGGCGTTTTTAAACACAAACGCTGCTATAGAATGTACTTTAGCGGTGGTTTTTATAAAAACGCCGCAATAGGTTCGTCCATAGTGGCGTTTTTATAACAAATGCTACAATAAATAATATTTAGTGGCATTATTTCGACAAACGCCGCAAAATACTTTTACTTTAGCGGCATTTTTTTAAAAACGCCTCGAAAAATATATTCTTTACGGGCGTTTTTAAACATAAACGCCGCAAAATTTAACGTTTACCCCAAACAAACCGTTTTGCTCTGACTTAATTTTGTATCAAACCATTAGCAGATCCCTAATACCCCCAAAATCTCTCCCCATTTGTTCGACCGTCCACAAATCCACCCAGAGGTTATCCTACCGATCCCTAACTTCCCTACTGTTGTGCTCCATTTTTTATTTCATTCAAAAATAGTTGGTCTATTTTTCACCGCAGAAGCATCTCTGAAGCCCTAAGCGCTTGAATTTCAGCTTCAATCGGGAATCTTTCGTAGGGGTTGAATTTCTAACTCTCTTATTTGAATTTTAGTTTTGTAGTGGTTGGAGTTTAGAACATTCATCAATTAAGCGAATTTTCTTTTTTGATTCAGGCACCAGAGCAAAACGGTTCGTTTTTTGATATAGACAGGTGGGTATTTTCTCCTTTAAGTTTGGGTTTATTTTATATTCAATGTTTCCCCCCTTCAATTAGGCTTCAGTTTTTCTATTTGGGATGAAGCAAATCTGGGGTTGTTTATTATTGCTTGGTGTGTGATTAAATCTTAGGTAGAGTTAGTTGTGTTGACTATTTTAGTGGGATTTATTTCATTATTTGAAACCTTTTCCTCGATTCAACTTTCATTCTTCCTACTTTAGAGGGACTAGCAATTTTTTGGGGGTTAAAAAGATGAATAGATAAGGATTTTTTTAGTTTTGATGATTAACAAGATGGGATATGTATGTATATTGCTTGGTCTGATTATTATTATATTTTATTCTTTGTGGTGGTGAATCAGTGGACTCTGGGGTGGCCATTGCAAGTCTTCATCAATAGCAAAGGAGAACTGTGCTTTGAAGTGCCTCTCTCCTACTTGTTATGAGCTTATATATGAAAGTGATCCGGTATGTAAAACCCTTCCTTGTTGTGGTGCTCTACTGAGTCTGTTTCTATTATCCAGTTTGATTGTTTCGTCTTTTCTGATTTTTACATTGTAGCTCGAAGAAGGAGAGAAAGACTATATTAGGGGGAAAGAATTCAAGTACTGTATGTACAAGTAAGTTTCACACTTTTTATGCTTTCATCATGTCTTATCTGTTTGATATTGTGCTATAATCAGGCTTTTATTTGACATATCTTAAAATATGTGGGAGTTTTGTATGATTCTAAAGGAGAATTAGGGTATTAGAAATATGTTGAGAATATAATGCAAGATCTTCCTGGCAGCACGATATGTATTCGGATAAGGGATCTGCTTTCCAGGGACAAGCAGGCCGGGCCCCCGCTATTTAAACCGGAACGAAACTTTACATCTCAAATTTAGATTACGGTGTTTCCAGCGATGACGTTAAGGTATTTTTATTTTTTAAAAAAATTCTCTACTATTTTCTAATTGTATTCTTAGTTTAAGATTTACTGTTCTGTCTCGATCTGTTATTATTTGAACGGTGGTATTCATTTCAATTTTTGTTTAATATATGCTCACGTTCCTGATGATTCTCTGGCTTAGCTGTTTGAAAATTTGTTGAAATATTCATTGTAATTATAAACCTTAGCAGTGAATAGTAAAACATGTAGAAACTTTACATCTGTTATTTGTCTCCTTTATCTTTTTATGTTTTACACTTGCAGAGTGCATACACGTTTTGTCTATATTTTTCAGTTAGGTTGTGTGCTGAACATTTCTAGAGTTGCAATAAATCTCCATGAGATGTTAATTTTAACGTTAATTATTGGTTGAACTTTCTCCTTATTATCAATTTATTTGAAATTTAAGTATGATAGCTGGAAAAAATAATTGAATGTTTGTCTGCTATGATGTATGTTCAGACATGCATCTTAGGTGATTGTGTTGTGTATTCTATATTTTTAATTAACAGTACATGCTACAATTCATATTTTCATGTGCTTGTTACCTTTCCTTTATAACAAATTGGTATAGCACTGATATGTATGTTATCATGTAAATGGATCTGTGTGGGAATGTGTTTCATGTCATTTGTTTCTCTTATTCGTCAATGAGTTTTGTAGGGGTTGGAGTTTAATATTAAAATACACGAACTACCTCAGTGGTTCTCCATCTAATCCATGACATGCACATACCTTATTATTTTATATAATATAATAGGTTTAGTTTAATTCATTTTTATAATCTTTTAACCATCGGCAATATCTTATAATCTTTCCTAATGTCATTATTACCAAAAGCTATTGCAATCGGATTTTAGATTTCCCAATGGCTGTGATATAAGAAATGAAGCAAAAGCTATTTATTTGTTTCTTTTTTCACATGTTATAAATCTAATCATAATCCTACTTAGAACCCATTACAAGAGAAAGGAGAGACTCTAAAAAAAATAGTGCTTGTAATCAATTTAAAACCCATTATTTAAAAAAAATATGAGAACCGAAACGAGTACAATTAAATACACTTACTCTATATGTATTAGAAAAAGAATATTATACCTTGAGATCTTAAGTTTAAAAAACTATATTTATAAAAAAAATATTATTAATAATTTAAAAATTATAAATATATATTATATTATAATCACTTGGATTATTAGATTTGTAAGGGAGAATTGCATGCGGGGAAAAGGAAGATGATAGAGTCAGTGGGGTGTTAAGTCAACCAAATAGACGTTACCGGCATGGCCACGTCAAAGATAATCTCATAACAAGGTCCCTTTCATTTTTTACTGGAAAGATTAATAAAATGAGGGTGTTCTTGCCTGTTTCATTGCACAGGCAAAAGTTGTCCCCACTAAAATATCAAATGCATATTTGCTCTCTGATTTCCTACATTACGATAGTGTTAACATTCAAGACTAATTCAAATTTTATTATGGGAGGGTACAAGGTGGATTGATTTCCTACATTACTGCTATTCTGTATGATCTTGTTTATAAAAATGTTTTTTGTTATCAATGTTCTTTAGAATATACTTTACACTAGAAACGTCCTACGTATATGTAGCAAGTTTTATGCATACATGGCTAAACTTTTGAAAGACGCTTTCTACGAAAAGTGTCTTTATGTCCCTCAAAATTGTCTTCTACGTGCGTCTAATTTTTGGATTTTGGGTTTTGGACTTTTTAATATTGATTTTAATTTGAGGATTTAAGGTTTATGTTTACCTTCTCATTTTATGGTCGATCTTTTATTTTTGCAAGGTTAAGAGAGAAAGGCTTTATAATTATGATTAGTTATGGTAAAATAATTATTATAATAAAAGATACATTACAAAAATATAAGAAAATGTTATTTAGCTCTCAGTTCTTAAGGGGCTGACATGTTCGCTAATGGTGCTCGAGTTAACTTGAGACAAATATATTTGCTGGAATCTGAAGGGGACCTGGGTGTTATTGATATAGGGGGCTAGAATAAAGCATGTATTGGGCTTTTGATCAAAAAGTTATTGGCTAATGAAGGCTCTCTATGGGTGGCATGGATCAACTCTTATGTGATTAAAAACTATGAATTTTGGTAGATAAGTATCCCTTTAAACGCCAGCTGGAGCTTCAAGAGTATATTGAAAATGAGGCATGTTGTGTCTCAGCTATTTGCTGGCTCAGTTAGAGATCTTAGCACAAGACAAACTTGGGAGGATTTGCGCATTTAGGTTTCTAAGGTATCTTGGCATAAATTGGTCTGGTTCCCAGGGTGTATCCCTAAGCAAAGCATTATTCTGTGGATGACTATCTTGGATAGACTCCCTACTCGGGTTAGGCTTATGCGAATGGGATTGAATATTGACAATGACAAATGTATATTCTGTGGTATTGAGTATGAGACTAGGGATCATTTATTCTTTGGGTGTGGTTTTGAGAAAAAGTTATGGGGTATTATGCTTATTATATGTAGTGTTAACCGTGGAGATAGCGTTTGGGATAGGGAATTGACATGGGCTACCCAATTCTTTAAAGGTAAGCGTTTGGAAAGGTAATCATGTGTATGGCATCTTGAAAGAGAGGAATAACAGGTTGTTTAGGGGTAAAGCTAGCACTACAAGAAAATATACCTTTAATGACACACGAACGACGACACACACTAATTTATGACTTGCAAAACATGTGTGTCATAAAAAATGTCGTGTTTTTTTAAATCTGAATGATTTATGACTTATAATAATGTGTATCATATTTAACAGTTATAATCCAAAATATTTAGCAAACACACGGAGTACACTTTTCATTGTGTGTCATCTCTCAAAGTTCTCTTTTAATTTCTCCATAATTTTCATCACGTACGCATGCTTTCCCGCTTCTAAAATTTGTCTTTTAATTTTCTCCCATAATTTTACTTTGATTACAACGCAGACGAAGGGATCAATCAAAATTCAAGGGTTTCCACATATATTCCTCGTTCTCTATTCCACCATTCAATTTGAGTTTCTGGTTTTACGAATTTGTATGTTAAACTTTTTCTCTATTGCAACGGGAGAAACAATGTGTGTTTCTAGTGATCTCACGCGAATTAAACCCTTCCTCGTTTGCCATTCACGCACGCATGTGTTTTTTTTATTTTGCTTTGGCATTCAGTTTCAGCGGCCAAAACCCTAATTAGTTCTTCGCTTTCTCGATTTCACATCTCTCATTATTTATAGGTACATTTTCATCGCATTATCTGAGGTTTTATGATACAAGGTGGGGATATTTCAGCTGGTGACGAAACAGGGGGAGAATCCATTTATGGCCTGAAATTTGAAGATGAAAACTTTGAGTTAAAACATGAAAGAAAAGGAATGTTATCCATGGCTAATATGGGGCCTAACACCAATGGGTCTTAATTCTTCATTACAACTACTTGAACATCTCATCTCGATGGGAAACATGTGGTTTTTGGGAAGGTTTTAGAAGGAATGGGTGTTGTTCGATCTATCGAGCATGTTGCCACTGAGGATGGTGATTACCCCACTCAAGATGTTATAATTGAAGATTATGGAGAAATTCCTGAGGGGGCAGATGACGGAGTATCTAATTTTTTTAAGGATTGTGATATTTATCCCGACTGGCCAGCTGACCTTGACAAAAAAACAAATGACATTACTTGGTGGATGATGGCAGTTGACTCTATCAAAGCTTTTGGAAATGAGAAATACGAGGTATTTCATATAATTTGCTTCATTTCCTCTTTTTTGTATATTACACATTTTGCATTATTATGAATGAGTTTGCCTTCTACTCTCTGTGTTATGGCTGCATAATGATGGCACATTTTCTACCATACATTAGACTGCCCAGTACCGATAGCTTTAGTACTTTTCTTTGGAATTTGATTTACTGCTACAGTGTTAGTAGATATTCCTAGTTGTTACCTCTTACAGAAACAAGACTATAAGATTGCTCTTAGGAAATATTGGAAGGCTTTGCTCTATTTGAATGTCTGCTGGGACCTGGAGGCCATTGATCAAGGTGCATAATTTAGTTGCTTGATGGTCATGATTTTATTTCCATTAATCCTCTAGTTATTCTGCTGACCTTTTTGATTCCTTTCTAATTTGTCATCACACAGAGAAGAGCTCATCTTTGCGGAAGACCAAGTCTCAGATATTTACAAATAGTTTTGTAAGATTTTTTATTTCCTTGAAATTATTAGACCATCAATAAGTCAAAGGTTTAGGCATCTAGCATGGCAAGATCATTCTAATCTTTCTCTCATTTTTAGTTCTTCATTCATTGAGTAAAGCATGTTATGATAGGGAGTTCCTCTATGTTAGTATCTGTAATCACTTATATTCCTTTTCCAGTTATTGACGTTTGTTCTTTTCATATGACTGTTGTCTGTGTTGTCTGCTTTAGGCCTTCAAGTTAAAACTGAGTGATCTAAAAGGAGCATTGTTGGATACTGACTTTGCAATTCGTGATGGAGAAGATAATGTGAAAGCTTTCTTTCGCCAAGGCCAGGTCAGTGCTTAGTATTTGTACACATTCAAAACCATGTTTATTGCTTCCTTGGCACCGCGTACTTTGCATGGTCTGTTCTCTTTTCCATTTCTTTGCGCTGGTCATGTTTCTAATTTAGTTTGTACCTTTGTTTTTTTACTGACTACTTTCGATGCTTTTTCAAGCATAACTAATATTGTCGTTTCTTATTTTGCTAATTGATTTGAGGGAAAAACCTTGTGTGTTTATAACAAAATAAACTGTATGCTCTTGTTTTAACTGGAATGCATGTTGTTTAAACTATTAAATGACTAGTTTTACTTTTATCTGGGATTTGTTTTACTTCAATTGCTTTTGCATTTAACTGATGCAAGGCACACATGGCACTAAATGAAATTGATGCTGCAGTCGAGAGCTTTAAAAAGGCATCAGAATTAGAGCCTAATGATGGTATGTAAAATCTTATCTCAAGTGAAACAGCTGTGAAACTCCTACCATGCTCCCTCCCTCCCTCTTCCATTTTCTTCCTCTGTTTTACTATTTTGAGGTTTGGAATGACTTGCTAAGTTTTCATTTTTGATTAATAGAGTGCCATGTTATGTCACCTGGTAAAGTTGCATACGATTGTAACCTAAGTACGAAACTTGATGTTATATCACTTAATTAGTTTCTGCTATAATTTTTACTTCTACTTCATCAATGTCCTTTAATTATATACTTTTGAGTAGATTCGGGATGACCTTCATCTTATATCATGTTTTCTTCTACTCAGGTGGAATAAAGAAAGAGCTTGCAGCTGCAAGGAAGAAGGTTGACATCAATCTATTCCTTCTCTAAATAAATATTTAATGCTTTCCACCTCTCACTTCCAGTTGATTTCACTTGTGAAGGTAATTGAGTTTGAAACACTACTGCAGGTTGCCGATAGACGAGACCAGGAGAAAAGAGCATACTCTAGAATGTTTCAGTAGATCTTTAGGCAACTTTATGGTACATCAACAACCTTTCTGTTTGTTACTGCATACTCTAGAATCTGAGGGATCACACAAATCAAGATCGTCCATTACTGATCTGCCAACTGATTCTAACAAAGTAAGCATCCTTATGTTTTGGTAACTTGTATTAACGCTGAAACTTATTGATTTGTTTAAGACACTAGGTTCTATAGAGGCTTTGGATCTTTATATTTCTAATGCATAAGCTCTTTCTGGAACCCACTTACAGGCATCAAAATTGCCAGACCAAAAACCTAGAACCCATTTGAGGAGAACATCTTCTTTTGATAGAATAGAAGAAGTTGTTGCAGAGTCCATAGCTACCGAACTTCTCATGCAAGCTCAATCTTCGAAAACGGACCTACTTGAAGATACACGATCTGTTAAAGATGGTCAACCCATTGAAGAGAAAAAGCCTAGGCCTCCGAAATTGATTGAATTTCGCAGTATCAAGATAAGTCAAGTGGTCCAACTAATTTAATTGGTTGTCTTATGTTTTGTATTGCCATTATTTGGTTTCTTTTGTCTTATATTTCTGTTGTTCTGCATTAGGTTGAGCTGTCAATAACATACGAAGGGTCCAGATTTTTTGTAAGTGATCTCAAGTTGCTGATGGATACATTTCACTGAGTCGAGTTCACCGGAACATGGAGGAGACTGATCTCTCGAGTTAAGAAGCATGTTATATGGGGAGTCCTGAAGTCTGTAACTAGAATGCATGTAAGGGATCTTAATGATACTCCTGTAAACTGACCTTAAAATCTCCATACTATGAATCTTCTCATACTTAGAACGTAACAGTCTTGTCTCCTTCCTATTTGTTGGATTAGGACATGGAAATTTCTAATGCTTAATTTTACAATAAACTATGATAATAGTTGTTCGATTTCTTCATTTTCTTAAAGCATCCACTACCATTACATATTAGATGTGTGTGGGATTATATGAAGAAACTTATAAACAAAATTGAATATACATGTGCCGAACTTATATTCATTTCTAGCACTCGCACTGATCTCAAGTAACATATTATTTGCAAACATGTAGGAGCTTAGTTTATACCATAAAGTTTGGAATGCAGATCTTCTGACCTTCCTTTTAATTATTTGACATTTTGGTAGGTCAAGAAATTCAAAAACAAGGGACACAGTCAACAGCTAACTACAACTGTTGCTCATGATGGTGAATTCCATCTCCTTGAGAATGACCAAGCTTCTGATCAGAAAAGAGCCTTTCCTAAGCGTTCAGCTGATGGCGCTGGTGATGGATTTGTTACTTCCGTTAGGGGGGCCTCTTCAATAATCAACGGCGTAAAGCCAAACAATTTGTGCTACGAACTATTAGGGGTGAAGAGGAGGGTGACCAACAGGGACAGTTGAGTGATGGCGATGCATCTGCTGCAAGGTAAAGTCAGTGCTACTTACCTAGACATTAGATACATTTGGTGGAGAGTCATAGGCTTTGGTTTCAATTCTTCTTTGTGCAGCATAGGTAGTACAACTCATGGCTAATCCGAGTAGGGAGGAGTAACTAATTTTATGTGAACTAGGACTATTGTTGAATTCATTTAAGGAGATTTGTAACTTTCAGTGTTTGTTTATTAACTTATAATAATGGTTATATGTTCTTTCTCAATGTCATATTTTCTTTGACTAATCGTTTATTGTAAACTGTTTGTAGTGTGAATATATTGTATACAAATGGATTGCTTATATATAATATGATATATATATTTAGTATTATGAGGCATTAAATATGATTTAGTTTGATTATTTGTCAATCACAATATATATATATATATATAATTTACGAAATACAATTACGACACACGAATGTAAGTCATACAAATGTGTATCATCTTCATTTATGACGGGGGCTTCAATGACACGCAATGTAAGTCATACATGCGTGTCATAAATTTATGACACACAAATGTGTGTCATCTTCATTTATGACGGGGGCTTCAATGACGCGCAATGAGCGTCATGAATACGTGTCATAGATTTATGACACACAATTGCGCGACATCAAAAATTCATGTCGGTGGCTTTAACGACAGGCATTTGTGTGTCATCCGCACCCATAGATGACGCACAATGTGCATCATTAAAGGGGTATTTTCTACTAGTGTAGAATGATGGACGATGTGCTAAATGATACTCGTGAAGCCTTCCTGATTCGTCTGAGTGGCTGGACCATCAGCATAGCTGACCTGAGGAATACTGCCCTCTGTGCAAATTGGGGTATTTCTTGAGCTGAGGTGTTGTTTCTTTTGTTCTTTGTTGTTCTGCTGGTTTCAGTAATGTTAAATTGTTGTTTATGTAGCATACAATTTCTTTGTAGCAGGTTTCCTGCTTTCTTGGGTAATGAAATGGAATTATCCAAAAAAAGATTTTTTTTTAGAATTCATAATTGTGAAATATTAGAAGAGAATTTCTTTTTACCAACAAGCAGTTGATCTAGTGGGATGAGGCACTAGGTTCTTTAAGCAAGATCAAGGTTTCGAATCTTGGTGTTTACGAATAGAGTAAATTGGGTTGGGAAGTTCGCCCTCGCCTCTGCAGTATCCGATTAGTCGATCAATATATCGGATACCAGTGATTAATTAAAAAAAAGAGAATTTTTTTCAAGAAAGAAGAGAATTTTTTTCCTTTGCATACATACATAAAATTTATAATTAATTTTAAACATAATATGAAATTGTTTGGAGAGAGAAGAAAACAAGAACTACAATGTACAAATTAATTTATAAAAAAAAGTTGTCGAAATACAAAACATAAATCACAACTAAACAACTACTTAGAATAACTTAATACGTGAAATCCTAAATTAAAAAATTAGGTGACATTTAATCAGTCTGACTAATAAAAAAATTAATTATATTATTTTCTTTATGTTCTCAAAAGCAATAAAATTACTCTTTAGAAATTTCATTACATGAGCAACATGTTTGTGAAACCATCATAATTTTTGAAACCGATAAAATATTGACAATAATATATGCGATCATGGTTCTACAATGCAAATGTTCTCTTTACTTTTCCCTTAGAAGCATTAAATCAAGAGCATATAACACTTTATATCCATATCAAATATCCTCTTTAGGTGAAGCCATTATATAAAGATATAAGTTGCTTCAATTACATCAATCGTAAAGATCTTCTTCAAAATGTTATACTCGATATCAATATTGACATAATACTCTAAAAAACATATGAGGCTTAAGGACTTTATTAGGAAAAAAAGCCCTTCATAGTAGCAAATATTCTTAACGATCCAAAGATCTCAAGACATACCCATAGAATCATTTTCAAATATATACGTCGAATTTGAAAGCAAGAAAAAAAGCCCAACAAACTAATCAAAGGTGTAGAAATTTATTAATACAATTTCCAACAACACATCATAAAGTCTCATACAATATATCATTTGAAAGATTAGACATAGACATTTTAGATGTCACAACAAAAATTCTTTATAACAAAATGAAAAGATGGTAAAAATAAGTAGTGAATGCTACAACTAAACATAAATATATAAACAATGCTCCAAACATTGAAATAAGGACATGAATAATTTTCTATAAAGGTCAAACAGTTACACCCCTTAGAAATAGGGGATGCAAAGTTTCTCTACAAAAAGGAAAGGTTCGTTTCAGCAGAAGTTCTTCTTCTTTGTAATAGAGATTCTTTTCAGTGTCATCTTGTCTAGTCATTTTATAATTGTATCGTGTCCTATAATGCTTCAAACATGTAGACAAAGATGTGAATATTTCTAAGCAAAGGTCAAATAGTTACACCCCTAAGGAATAGATGATGTAAAATTTCTCTGCATAAAAAGAAGACTTGTTTAAACAGAAACTCCTCTCCTTTGTAAATAATATTTTATATAGGGTCATTTTATCTAATCATTTCCAACAGATGTGTAATCTTCTATCATGCATCGAACATGGAGACAAAGATGTGAATAGTTTTATGTACATGTCAAACAATTACACCCTTTCGGGAGTAGGAGATGCAGAGTTTCTCTACATAAAAGGAATGTTTGTTTTTGTTAGGTATGGCTCATAAATATACTAGTAAAGAAGACAGGAGATGGAGTGGAGTGAGCGAAGCGAACATCAACTGTCTTTACAAAGAAAGTCTCGTTGTGGGGTTACGAATTATGTGGGTTGGGGGTGCGGGGGCGTAGCCCCCGCGGTACGGTACAGGGTTAATTTTGTAATTATGTACCAGGGTTTTCTATTATAAATAGAGATGTAACCTAGACCTAAAATATTATTGAATAAAAGCTTCTAGCGCCGCCTAGGCACCGAGGACGTAAGCACATTGCCGAACCTCGTAAAATTCTCGTGTTCTTTTGTTTTCTTTACCCGTTTTCGTCAACAATTGGTATCAGATGTCAGGAGCAAAATTCGAAGTCGCGAAATTTGATGGTCAGGGTAACTTCGGATTATGGCAAACGAGGGTGAAGGATCTATTGGCGCAGCAAGGGATCTTGAAGGCTTTGCGATCTACAAAGCCGGCGTCGATGGATGAGGAAGATTGGGAAGAATTGCAGCAGCGAGCGGCAGGAACCATACGATTATGCTTGGCGGACGAGGTCATGTATCACGTCATGCATCTATCGTCTCCAGACAAAATTTGGAGGAAGTTGGAAAGTCAGTTTATGTCCAAATCCTTAACGACAAAACTGTATCTGAAGCAGCGGCTGTATGGGCTGAAGATGCAGGATGATCACGATTTGGCGCAACACGTGAATGTCTTCAATCAAATTGTTTCTGATCTGGCTCGGCTTGATGTGAAAATTGAGGATGAAGACAGAGCGATGATTCTGTTGTGTTCGTTGCCTCCCTCTTACGAACACATGGTGACTACTCTTACATATGGGAAAGAGACTATCATGTTGAGGAGATTACTGCAGCCTTGTTGGCTCACAACCAGCGGAAGCAGAATGCAGGGGAAAGCTCTCAAGCCGATAGCTTATATGTCAAGGGTAATCGAGATCGTGGACGGAAGCCAGAGAAGGCAGGGTCCGGGAAGCGGAATTCCAGATCCAAATCCAGGGATAAGAAGACGATTCACTGTTACAAGTGCAAGGAGGCGGGACATATGAAGCGAGACTGTCCGAAGTTGAAAAAGCAGATGATGAGAAGCGTGATGGCTCATCCAAGTCTGTGAACGTGGTCGAGGATGATAATTCTGATTACAGTGAGGGTGATATGCTTTCTATTTCAACGACACAACTGACGGATGCTTGGATTCTTGATTCTGGATGTTCTTATCACATCACGCCAAATAGGGAATGGTTTTCGACATACATGCCGGTTAATTCTGGTTCAGTTTATTTGGGTGATGATCGATGTTGCAATATTGTTGGTATTGGTGATGTCAGAATTAAGATGCACGATGGCTCCGTTCGGACGTTGAGTGGTGTTCGACATATCCCAGACTGAAGAAGAATTTGATTTCCTTGGGCACTTTGCACAAGAATGGTTTTATCCCTAAGGCTGATGAGGATAGGGAAACCATTCGGATTGTTAAAGGAGCATTGACTGTGATGAAAGGCAGATGACTGCAGGGAATATCTACAGATTGTTAGGGAGTACCGTTGCAGGTGGAGTTCACTCTGTTGAGTCCTGTGATGATACGACAAAATTGTGGCATATGCGCCTTGCTCATCTTAGTGAACGTGGTATGGCAGAATTACACAAGAGAAACTTGTTGCATGGTGTCAAAAGCTGTAAGCTCGACTTTTGCAAGTATTGTGTTCTTGGTAAACAGACTAAAGTCCGTTTCAAGACTGCGAAGCACACAACTCAAGGGATTCTTGATTATGTGCATTCTGATGTATGGGGGCCTTCCACGACATCGTCTTTGGGTGGATCTAGGTACTATGTTACTTTTATTGATGATTTTTCACGGAAAGTTTGGGTGTATTTTTGAAACAGAAATCTGAAGTTTTTGAGAAGTTCAAGCTGTGGAAAGCTGAGGTAAAAAACCAAACAGGACGAAAATCAAGTGTTTGCGGTCTGAAAATGGTACGGAGTACACAGATTCACAGTTCCTACAATTCTGTAAGGAGCATGGGATTCAGAGGCATTTTACAGTGCGCAAGACACCACAACAAATGGTGTTGCAGAACGAATGAACAGGTCGTTGAATGAAAGAGCCAGATGTTTGCGGTTGAATGCGGGGCTTCCCAAACACTTCTGGGCTGAGGCTGTTAACATGGCGTGTTACCTTATCAACAGATCGCCAAGGGCATCGCTGGCTGGGAAAGTTGCAGAAGAGGTATGGACTGGTCATGATGTTAGTTTTGATAACTTACAGATTTTTGGTTGTCCTGCTTATGTGCATGTACCTGCTGATGAGAGATCCAAACTTGATGCAAAATCGAAGGAGTGCATTTTTCTGGGTTACAAGAAAGGTGTCAAAGGATTCAAGTTCTGGGATCCAGTTGCGAAGAAAGTTGTGATTAGTAGAGATGTCGTTTTTGATGAACAATCCATGTTGCAGCAGAAGCAAGACACGACAGTGTGGATTTCGAGCAGTTTCCAGTTGAGAAACCAGAAACTTCTCAAACCGACTTCTGGTGGTTCCACTACGGATGATTTGCAGGATTATAGTCTCGCC